GGCGGCGGCCGAGGCGGTGGGACGCCTGGCCACGTCGCTGTGGCTGCGGCTCCGCGGCTGGGAGGCGGTGCTGGCGGCCGCGCAGCGACTGCTGGTGTGGGAGAAGCCGCTGCACAGCCTGGTCACGGCGGCCGCACTCAACGGCCTCTTCTGGTAACGGCCGCGGAGGTGGAGGAGGAGGAGGGGGCGGGGCCGGGCTGCGCGGGAGAGCGGGGGCGGGAGGACCGGGGGCACCCTCCCCTGGAAGGGCTGTCAGCCGCAGGAGCGGTGATCCACCATCAGGTTGCCCCCTTGCTTAGTCTCCCGGTGGCGGGGTAAGGCTTAAGAGGGCCATCTCCCTGCCAGTGGGTCTTTCTGCCCTTTCCGATGGGTTTGGGAGCCTCTCACCTACGCGCGGCTGAGATGCCTGTCTCCCCAAGGTTGCTGTCTTCGTCGTCCCTCCGACCCTTCTTCCTGCTCAGCATCTCACTTCTGACCTATTTTCTGCTGGATCTCTGGCATCCCCGCTTTCTCCCCGACACTTCAGGTGAGTTTCTTCATTCCGCACGCACGCACTGTTGTGCACAGGCCGTGTTGCGAGGTAGAACAGCAAAGGGAAGGTACAGCGGGGCCGTTTGCGCCTCCTCGGCATACTCCGTGCGTGCCCTCGTCCCTCATCCCCGTTTTAAGAAATTGCCTGAAATGAGCATCGTCTCGTTCCCAAAAGTAACGTTCTTGGGGTTTTAGTAGTCAAAACTCTGAAGTTTAGAGCGGAGTGTGGTGGTGGTGGTGGTGGTGGTGGTGGTGCTGATGCTGGTGCTGGTGCTGGTGGTGCACGCCTTTAATCCCAGTACGCAGGAGACAGAGACAGGCGGATCTCTGGGAGGTCTAGGCCAGCCCGAGTTACATACTGTGACATTGTCTCAAAAAAGTAAATAAACGTCAAAGACCGTAGAGTGTGTAGCCAAAGCACCTGAGATACAATTCCCTACTCTGCCCTTAATCAGGTGCATGGACTTGTAAAGAATTGCAAACGTAGGGATTTTGTTTGTTGTTTTTTGAGGCAGGGTTCCTCTGTGTAGCCTTCCTATCCTGGACCTCCTCCGTAGACTAGGCTGACCTCGAACTCACAGGAATCCCCCTACCTCTGCCTCCTGAGATTAATCCCTCCTGGGATTAAAGGTGTGTGCTACCATTGCCTGGCTTCTTTTGGCTTTCTTATACGCACCTAATGTGCATCTTGGAACAACTATGTATTGGGCCGTGTATAAATTATTGGGGACACAAGCGAATAAAGTGTGGGCTTCTGTGTTTGATAAAGGCTAAGTCTAAAGAAGGAAACAAAGGTAGCCTTGGTGGTATAGACCTCCCATCTCAGCTGCAGAGGCTGAGGCAGGGGAGGGTGCAAATTCAAGGCCTACCCTGTCTCAAGGAACAGGGGACATAGCTCAGTGGTACAGCATTTGCCTGATGTTTACCGCAGGTTCAGTTCCAAGTACTGCGAAAAAGAAAAAGGGTGCAGAAGCAGCATGTAGTACAGCCTGTTGTTAGCGTAGGAAGGAAGTTCTGTGTGCCTGTGCAGTGGTTCATGCCTGTAAGTGAGAATTTGACGTGAACAGTGCCGGGGAGCAGCAGTTCTTTCTGATTTGGGATCTGCCTCTCAGTGCCTCTTGCACTCTTAATTTAGTGCCCCTTTTTCTCTATAGCATCGCCCCCTGAGGAACCACACTCTGACAGGTGAGTACAGACCACCTTTTAAAGAAGATGCCCAGATGTGGTCTGCTTACTATGTTCGGGTCAGCTCCTAGAGGGCAAGGCTGCCACTTCTGCACGCATAGGCCCCAGCAGAGTGAAGGGGCTTGCAGCAAGCGAAAGCGTGCTGGCCCTAGGCTTTTATGTGCCTTTTCCTGTGGAGGTAGAGTTGAGGATCCTGGGGATTTGCTTTCCCGGACTAGGGTGCCCTCCTCTGGGGGAGGTGGGGTTTTCCACGTCTCCAGATTGAAGAGCGCGTCAGCAATCTCAAAGTGATGTGAGTGCTTTAGAAAGCTGGTTTCTGAGGCTTCCAGGGGTCATGTCATGTCTCCCCAGTGAGGGTGCGGGGTCAGGCGCCCAGCCGCACCTGCTGAGTGTGCCCGAGTTGTGCAGATACCTGGCTGAGAGCTGGCTCACCTTCCAGATTCACCTGCAAGAGCTGTTGCAGTACAAGAGGCAGAATCCAGCTCAGGTAAAGCTCCTCCTGTAGTGCTTGTTCCTGAGCCAGAGGGGATGGGAGAGGAGCGGTATGAGCAGTGTCTGCTGTAGTTTCCCAGTCTGGTCCCATTCTTCCAGCGGATGAGTAGTGTTTCCTAGGTGACGGGGCACATGGCTTAGTCCAGGGTTTTCATAGACCTGTGCTCTTCTCCGCAGTTCTGTGCTCGAGTCTGTTCTGGCTGTGCTGTGCTAGCTGTGTTGGGACACTATGTTCCAGGGATTATGATTTCCTACATTGTCTGTGAGTGGAGGCCAGCCCTGCCCTTTCCAAAGCCCTTCCTATTCTTTCCCTGGATTGACCCGGAGGACAGACTGGGTCTTCTTTGTCAGTTACCTGTCTGGGGAGGAGAGTAGGAGATGAGGGAAGAGGATGTCACTGCCTTGGGGAAGGGTCTCATCTTTGTTTAGACCTGCCTGTCCAGGGGACAGTTTGAAGAAGGCTCCTGGGAAATGGGCATGCTGAGCTCTGAGTGGACTTGCTAACCCACAGTGTTGAGTATCCTGCTGTGGCCCCTGGTGGTTTATCATGAGCTGATCCAGAGGATGTACACTCGCCTGGAGCCCTTGCTCATGCAGTTGGACTACAGCATGAAAGCAGAAGCTGATGCCCTGCACCACAAACACGACAAGAGGAGTAAGGGGTTCCCTTCACCCCGAGGGAAAGGCGGGAGGGAGGGCCTGAGGTTCATGGCTCATGATGTGTCCTGGACCCTAAATCATTTCCAGTTCCTTAGTCGTACTTGTCTCCTCCCATCGTCTTTGCTCACACTGCCTTTTTTTTTTTTTTTTTTTTTTTTTTTTTTTGGTTTTTCGAGACAGGGTTTCTCTGTGTAGCTTTGCGCCTTTCCTGGAACTCACTTGGTAGCCCAGGCTGGCCTCGAACTCACAGAGATCCGCCTGGCTCTGCCTCCCGAGTGCTGGGATTAAAGGCGTGCGCCACCACCGCCCGGCTATGCTCACACTGCCTTATTGCCCTTCTCTAGAGCGGCAAGGGAAGAATGCACCCCCAGCAGGTGATGAGCCCCTGGCTGAAACAGAGAGTGAGAGCGAGGCGGAGTTGGCTGGCTTCTCTCCAGTGGTGAGGTCCAGGGAAGATGGGGTGTCAAACAGAAGGCTCAAGGGAAGCTGGGTGTGGTGATGCACACCTGTAATCCTGTTTGAGGGGTGGAAGCAGAAGGAGCAAGAATTCATTATGAGTTTGAGACCAGCCTGGGCTGTACAAGACCCCTTCTCCAAAAACTGAAAGGCAGAGGGAGGGGGAGAGCCTGACTGCTCCAGAGCTACCACTTCTCGAGTAGGCGGGACCGGAAGGCTTGGGGGAAAGTGTTTGTATCCCTCCCTTTGGGTTCATCCTGGCTCTTCTGCAGGTGGATGTGAAGAAAACAGCACTGGCCTTGGCTATTACAGACTCGGAGCTGTCAGATGAGGAGGCTTCTATTTTAGAGAGCGGCGGCTTCTCTGTATCTCGGGCCACCACCCCACAACTGACAGACGTTTCTGAGGGTACGAGCAGTCTTTGCCCTTAATCTTCCTGCTCCCTGATGTTCACTTGTTGCTGGCTTTGTTCTCTGAGTTCCAGAAATGCTTCCTCTAGCTAGTTGATTCTCTGATTTACCCTAAGCTCCCCAAAGACCTTGGCTCAGTATTCCATCTTCACTTTGCTTTGCTTTGTGGTCTTTAACTGTCCTTTTATTGTTTTCAGATCTGTTATTTTATGTGTGTGAGTTTTTGGCCTGCATGTATGTGTACAACACATGCATGTCTGGTGCCTGCAGAAGTCAAAAGAGGGCAACTGACCTCCTGGAGTTGGAGTTGTGGATGGTTGTGAGCCACCATGTGGGTGCTGGGAATCGAACCTTGGTCTTCTGCAATAGCAGCAAGTGCTCTTAACCACTAAGTCGTCTCTCTAGCTCTACTTTGCTTTTTGATAAGGATCTTATATAGCTCAGGCTTGCTTCAAACTCTATAGCAGAGGATGGCCTGAACTCCTGATCCCTCCTGCCTCCCCTCCCAAATGCTGGGATTACAATAGACATGTGCCACAGAGCCTGGCTTCTTAAGTTCTCTTCGTGAACTTACTGGCTTTTGTGGCCAGTCAGAGAAACCAGCCATTCCTAACCCTGTGTTCTCTGCACAGATTTGGACCAGCAGAGCCTCCCAAGTGAGCCAGAAGAGGCTCTGAGCCGAGAACTGGGGGAGGGCGAAGAGGCAGAGCTGGCCCCTCCTGAAGACCTGCTCACTGCCTCTCCAGCCCTCACAAAGCAAGCCCTGGACACAGAGGAAGAGGCTGTCGTCAAGGAGGCCTTGCTTCGGCTCTCCTCCCCTCTTCACTTTGTGAACACGCACTTCAATGGAGCAGGGTCCCCCCAGGATGG